CCCCCTCCCCCCCTTCTGCCATTTCTCACGGCTCGCACGTCGAATATGCAATGTACTTTGACCTCAATCCCAAGCTCTGCCAACGACCCCTCTCTCTTTCTCCTTTCTCAAGGTACGGGTTCTTGCTTCGCGTGAAGTCGATGGGGATGGGTAGCGCCATCGATCGGGAGCGCAAGATTGCCACGTACTGGGCGCGCTTGATCGACGAGGCCGACGCTTACGACGAGAACGGCGGAGGCCACGACACCGACTGACTGAGAGACAGGCGTGTCAATGGGGGGGGGGCACGCTGTAAACGCGAGAGATTTAACATTATAAGCTGGCTCTCGGTGTTGTTTGTATGCTTCTTTCTCTTTCTCTGGTGATGTGTGTCGTCTGGTCGCGTATTAGCATATGTCTTGTGCATTCCGAATTCTAGCTTTGTGTGTTGTGTGATGGTGGTTTTTCTCTTGTCCTGTATGGGTTTTAAGAACGTCGGTAATCTGGTTCCCGTGGCATCATTCCCAATTCGGGCTCGGCCAGGCTGAGAAGGTGGGGAAAGCCCGCTTTTGGGGCTGGTGCATGCAAACGTGCTGCCGATCGTGTCAACCTTCGCGCGTTGGAGCTTGTCGGCACTTGCACTCGGTGCGGTGCTTGCTGCGATAGGACATTATTGGTTAACGTGCTGTCGCCTCCCCCCGTGGTTAAAGTGTCGTGCACTTGCTGAAGAGACAACATAGGTAACCCAGTGAGCAGCATTGCTGGTAATCGTAGATTTTATTGCTGCTGCTGCTGCTGCTGCTGCTGCTGCTGCTGCTACCGCTGCTACTGCTGCTGTTGTGTCCTCGCGCTGACCTGCATCGTTTTTTTCTCCGGCCCTGGGCTTGTTGTTCTGGTCAGCGGTCGTGTGGTCGATGTGGTCGATGTGGTCGATGTGGTCGATGTAGTCGATGTGGTTGATAGGCTGCTGTTGTGTTTCGTTTCTCCCCTTCCTCCGGAGGTGGACGGAGAGAGAGACAGAACAGAGGAGCCAAAGGGTTGTACGGCCGTATTTCGCGTCTTGTGTGCACGTATCACGTACCATCATTCTTCGCCACGACGTTTGCGCGTGTCTCGAGTTGAATCAACTCTTCACGATGTCGGACAACGCATGAACGGCGGCGTGTGGTGCTGTAGTCTTGAAGGTAGCGTGGGTACGACTTTTTCCCTTGCAGGTCGACCCGTGGTTGGGTAGAACAGGGCAGAGCAGGAGGTGGGAGAGTGCGCCGCGGGTGCTATAGTGCGAGTAAGGCCTGCGTGTGTGTGCGTTTCAGGCGCGGTGTCCGGAATTGAGACGGCGGTGTGGCAGCGCCTTGCTTGTTTTTTTTGCATCCGTTTTTTTGTTTGATCGTGTCGTGGGAGGGAGGGAGGGTGGTCCGGTTTTGTTGTGGTGCACCCCCAGGTTCTGATTCATCCTGACACGTTGGCACGAAGAATGGGAGAGAGAGAGGCGCTGCACACATGTTGATGGCTGGTTCGTTGTAGTCCGGGTCTTTGTGCGTTTCGGCTAGGAACTTCATGCGCTTTATTTACTGCTGTAGTTCCCGTTCCGTTTTGGAGAAACAGAAAACGTGCTTCTTGTCTGTCTGTGTGTTCGTTTCTCCTTCCTGTGGTGTGTATCATTGTGGAGGTAGATAGACGTGTGCCCGCTATTTTTTTTTTTGCGTTTCGGCTCGCGGTATTTGGTAGGATGGAAAAAACAACAAGGGTAAAGAGACCGAAGAATGAACGCGCGGGCTGGCGTCGTTGAACCCCGGTGCTGCTGCTGTGGCGGCAAGCAATGATGGATGATGATGATTATGATGATGTTGTTGTTCTGCTCGAAGGGGTGCGTTGTGTTGGTGTCGGTGCGGGTCTGCCTTGAATAAGGCTAATATTTTTGCTTGGCTTAGTGTGATTTGCTCTGTATTCAGGTAGAGAAGCACAACATCCACGCACGCACCTGAACCACCTCGCTCCAGTATTTCTTTCCGGAAAAAACTTCATTGCTGCCATTCGTTATGGGGCCCAACAAATGGTTGTGACTGACAGTCGCCACCTATGATACCGCCCGAACTAATAATTCATCTTCAACATCGTGTCAACCACAAGAAGAACTGAGCAACACCGTTTGCGAAGACCCGGGTAAGAAACCTATACAAAAACCTACCTACGGTACTCCGTACAGCAGTCGGCCACACAACACAAATATTAGTAGCCCCCAAGAGGATTAACTAGCTGTCTGTGTGCGCATTTATTTTCTTCCCAGGACTAGTATTATTGTGCACTATTTTTCCATACAGCGAGTATGGGCAACTGGAGAAGCACGGGCGGCGGGCATTCATTTGATAGACACGTTGTTAGGACCTTCATGTACAAGTATGTTTTGTTGTTTTTCTCCCATCGTTGGACTCTGTCGTCTGCCCCTCTGGCCCCTATCCTCCACTTCTACTAGCTAGACGACCCAACCGGGGTCACATAGGAGGGGGGGGTTGGACCCCCTCCTGCGGTTCATGCCTGAGGTATTTTTATCGCGAGAAGGGTACAGCAATCCCTTCCCTCGCGACTTACGAAGTCGATTGTGGTTTACTAACAAACGAGCTTTGCAGCGCGTCGCTTTCATCCTAGACCAGGATTTATTTAGTGAGAAAAAAACTCTCTCTGTCGGGACTCGAACCCATGACCTGGCCCTTAGCAGGCTGCGAGGCTACCCACTAGACCACCGGGGCGACCGTGTGTATTCGTCGCTATACAGAGACGTTTCGAAAATTCCGTTGGATGAAATACTGCGCGTTGGGAACTGCTGTTCGGAGTATAAATACTGCTGTACAATACTACTGCATACTTGATATTGATAGCCCAGAGCTCTCTGTCTCTGTCTCTGTCTCTCTCTCTTTCTCCCGCTCGGGTATAGGCGGGGCGTCCTCCACGTAGGGCACCATGCGGTGATGACGCAACTACGAAGCTTCCGTGGCAACCAATGCACATGTATCGCGCGACGTCAGAGACGATGTGAGATCTTCTTGTCGAGGAGGACACGTGTACCACTTGAACCAACCAGCCCATCGAACATTGTTGTGAATGGTGCTCTCTCTCGTCCTCTCTCCTTTCTCACGATACACGCAGCAAGGGAGAGTGAACTGCTGAACTGCACATGTAGCCGTTGCATACGGTACGCGTATTCGTGCCTCTGCATGCATACATGCATACGTATGGTCGCACGGAGGCACACGTTGGACCGCAACCAGAAGAAAAGACAGCTGGTAAAATCAAATCAGCGCATGTGCCCTGTCAACCGCAACTTCAAGCTTGCATCATTTTCTTTGTTTTGACCACGTCTTGCCTCCCCACACACGCCAGCAGACAGTCACGCGTGAGCCAACCCCATACACTCGCCAACACCAGAGGAAAGCCATAGGACTACACAACGATGAGGAGCCCAGGAGTCACGCCGGTGCTGTTTGGTAAGCTAGCTCTCTCCTCCCGGCCCGTCTGCTTTTGGGTAGACATCCAACGAGATAGGAGACGTGGGATGAAATTCGCCGCCGTTGCCGCCACCACCTCTTGGCCGCCTCGCCCCCCATCCCCCTGCTCCCCCCGCCCGCCCTAGCGCGCTGCCTACCACCGCCATGCGCACGGATCTTGGTCAGATGCAAAATTCCAGCTGAAAACGGGAGTCAAGGTTGACCACGGCGGCAGTAAGGTCGTCCGTTTGATCGATGATGCATGATTTGATTTCTTGTGTTGTGGTAGACGTTTGTTCGATGAGAGAGAGAGCGAACCGGCTGGATATTGTAGTCACAACTATGCATATAGTCTACTCGTACAGCACCATCGCTTATCGCCCCCCCCCCCCCCCCCCC